CGTCGGTCAACACCTTTATATGAGTGGACCCTTTGATGGATTGCTCGCACTTGGATTCGCCCGACGGGTGGTCCGCATAGTCTGGTCTCAAGATGTGCTCCGGAACTAAACGTTTGGCCGAAAGCGGGTAAACGGGCCGTAGTTTTCCCGTATAGTCATACGACGGCCACGGATTGTATCTGCCATCGGATCCGTTGGTGACAGTGTTCAACGTCTTGTGAATCGTCTTATGTTTAGTCCAATTAGTCTTAAAGCACTCCTGAGAACAGAAATAGGAATCAGTTTTTCCTAATTTACTACAATTTGGACACAAGAGTGTGACGGCTGTCGACCCCTCACAACCACATCCAACACATGACTTCTTCGTCACCACTACTTCTTCACTCATTTTCAGATCAATTGTTAATTCAATTCAATTAACAAAACATTGCTTTCAATCAAAATATCGGTTCAAAAGAAATCAATGCTATTTTCAACACACAATTCGCTTCAATCGAACGCATATAACGTGTTATGAATCGCCAGTTATTGTCCCCTCTATTGGAACCACTGTTTGAATATTGCATTCAATTCTTATGCAAAATATGAGTCCATTTAAACGACACCAACCTTTCTATCGGTACCTCTTATGTGAATACAACCAAAAGCAGTACTGTTTTGCCAGAATCGCCGCATTTTGTATAAGAAATTATTTAATACATAGTATTGACCACAATATGCAAACATTAGGCCCCAAACAATGTGTTTATCAATTATTTTGCTATATATTTCAATCCCTTGTGAGTGAGTTTTGAACGATTTTTTGACAAAAAATAATTTGTAAATGAATTCAATGTTTGAGTTAAGCATTGAATGAATGAATGATTTGTTATTTATTTGAATAATTTTTTTGTGCTTTTTATTCAAAGTTTTACAACTATTTAAGAAATTTATTAAATTTTTTCATTTCACAAAATAATTGATTGAAATTTAATGTAAAACACAATTAAGTTGTGAACGAGAAATGAATTGTGGTTTTTGTGACCAACTTTTGAGTGTCAAAAGTGGTGTTCAATTGTTTTGATTGAATGCAACAAATAGTTGGCATTCAATTGAATAGCAATTAATTTAATTATATTTAACCCAAATATAAGTATTGAATTGAATGCGAAATTGTGTGCAAAAAATGGGCAAAAGAGTGAATGTCGTGAAAGCGTTGACCGAAAGCCAAATCGGTTTAATCCGATCCCCATATCGACAGTCGCTTCAAATCATGCATTCATTGATTAGAAATGTATTCAATCTATCGTTAAATCTATTCATTGTTTCACTTATTGTTGTTTTATATTTCAGAAAAGCACACGATTTGAGAAGATATGGTCCGAGACATCAAAACAGCCCATCGTTTACGACGAGTCAGTCTTTCAATCACTTCTTCTCCTTCTTCTTGCAAATGAATTAATGAATTGATTGTATATTTAGATCACGAATATATCTCAATAATTATACCCAATGTCTAGCGCTGTAAGAATTCATACCATACATACATGTATTTATTTGTCATCTAATTGTGTGCTATTCTTCAGGTGTGGAAAAGACGGTTTGCCTTCAAATCAATACCGGCTTCAGAAGAATACTAAAATCAAGAGATTTGAAGACATATTCATTCACAGCGGACCAGTTGTAAAGTTAACCATTGATTTGATATTTGCTGTATTTTATTAAATCATTTAATTGTTAATGTGATGCCAGAAATGTACACCACTTCCTCGCGATGACTATAAGCCATACTTTTTGGCCGTCACTTCAGATAATTGGCTCATTAGATACGATAATGTGAGCGGAAAAGTATTGCAAGAGATATACTTGGGATACGTTCAGAGGTATAGCTTTCGTAACGTTGATTGGGAATCACAGGGAGAGACGATTGTATTGCAATCAACGCTATTCCCAGCCGTCAATAACAGCTCTCCGAACCCATCATTGTTTTACTTATTGTTGTTTTGTATTTCAGAAAAGCACTCGATTTGAGAAGATATGGTCCGAGACATCAAAACAGCCCATCGTTTACGACGAGTCAGTCTTTCAATCACTTCTTCTCCTTCTTCTTGCAAATGAATTAATGAATTGATTGTATATTTAGGTCACGAATATATCTCAATAATTATACCCAATGTCTAGCGCTGTAAGCATTCATGCCATACATTCATGTATTTATTTGTCATATAATTGTGTGCTATTCTTCAGGTGTGGAAAAGACGGTTTGCCTTCAAATCAATACCGGCTTCAGAAGAATACTAAAATCAAGAGATTTGAAGACATATTTATTCACAGCGGACCAGTTGTAAAGTTAACCATTGATTTGATATTTGCTGTGTTTTATTAAAACATTTTATTGTTAACATTATGCCAGAAATGTACACCACTTCCTCGCGACGACTATAAGCCATACTTTTTGGCCGTCACTTCCGATAATTGGCTCATTAGATACGATAATGTGAGCGGAAAAGTACTGCAAGAGATATACTTGGGATACGTTCAGAGGTATAGCTTTCGTAACGTTGATTGGGAATCACAGGGAGAGACGATTGTATTGCAATCAACGCTATTCCCAGCCGTCAATAACAGCTCTCCGAACCCCAAAAAGCTTCGTGTGGTTCAAGCGATGGCCATCTTTAAGATAATGCCCATTAGATTCGTCGGACTCTTTGAAGTCGATCAGACGGTAAGGATGTCTGCATTTGATTCGTTGTTTTTTCTCTATTGTGTAATGAAATCTTAATTAATTGGCAGACCTTTGGAAAGGAGGTGAACAGCGCTAACATATCAGAAGGACTTCTTATCGTAGGAATTGGTTCCCAAAAAAATGCTAAAATTCGTATTTACAGTCTTCACGAAATTCTTAATCAAACGAATCGTTTGTTTGAAGCGACTCTCGACAAGAAGTGTCCGGAATTGGGCGGAAAGACCGGTCAATACCCGTTTGGACTGCCATTAAATTATAAGGTATTTTTCTGAATGATAATAAGATGTAAATCTAATATTAAAGGTATTGAATGACTAAAACAGATCAAAACCGCTCCACCGGTTCTGTTTGAAGTGAAATGCAGTGAACAGAACCTGCATTTCGGAGGCCATCCGTGGCATTACGTGACCAACCCTTCCAACAGTTCCGGAGTGTTTGAAGTGCGAAACGTTGCGACCAATGAATTGGCAGAAAACGGTCGCTTCGATGTCCCAAACAATACAACATTTGCCGATACATTGACTTTCCATACGGACGACACGGGAAGACTTGTCTACGAATCGGGAAATTATATTAAATTTTATAAAATCTTTAGCGAAAAGTGTTTGTCGTCTATTCGACAACAGTTTGAGCTGAAGGTTAGATCTAATGACAAGAATGGCGTAACGAATGGCACCGAAACCACGACACGAGTTAACGGTCGACGCGAAGCGACTAAAAACGTTTGTTACGCAGAAAAATCTGAGGTTTCTATTGATATTGTTATAAATGATTGGTTTAGTTATTAATGAATGCATTTGTTTTGTATAATTAGCGCCAAATTGTTGCCACAGATTTTGAAAATGAATTGGAAATGTATTTATATTTGGGAATCAATACTCAGTCCAATAAGAATAATAACGGAGTGATGACTATTTGTGACAATAAAACTGGAGATATATTACACGAGTTTTCGTTAGGACTTACACTAAATGAAGTAATTATCGTTATATTTAACTAATTATTAGCTAAACATATGAATTAACAAATGAATGAATTGATTGAACAGAACTCCGACTATACACTAGTGATGGATTTGGACACAATCATAATCACGTGCAAAGAGATCCTCACCAATAAGTTCTATTGTTATATCTTCAGAATGACCAGAGATTCAGACATTGATTTACTAAAGTATGCATTGCTTTCATTTATTGTGATTTAGAAATTAATTATTGTTTTTCTATTTGATGTGAATATAGAGTGAATGGTAAGGATTGTGACGATAAACCCGATAATGAAAAGACCACTCCTAAGAAACGGAGGAAAAAAGTCCGAAAATATTATTAAATTTCTTACGACGTCTTGTATTGACCGACAATTTTATAGTCATTTTTAATATCGTTTATAAATTATTTGTAATTATTTATCAATTTCTCATTTTTATATTCATTTGTAAAGTGAATTTAAACAATTCATATTATTTGTAATTTATTTATAACTCATTGAATAAAACGTTATCGACTTTTTAATATATTAATACCGGAATTAATAAAATAAAATAATAAAAGTACAGCATTTAATTTTTATTTTGCTTCGCTTGAATCAAGGTTAACCTATGGCGTTGATTGCAAACATTTTTAGTTCGACAACTTCTCGCATATATTGTATTATATTCTGTAGTAAATATTGTAATTAAATGTCATTTTATTAATTATAACAATACTAGCATGTAATTGAGTACAGCCCGTCACAAACAACGTTACCCATTTGTTACCCATCGCTCCCCGTACTGCTCCCTATTTTTTGTGACCCTCATAGAAACTAATGTATTTTGTTGTTTTATACTATTTAATAGATGTGCGATATATATTCAATAAATTATTAAATATTGATTGTATAGAGCGGCCACTCTAATGAGTTAATTAATTACTCACAACTCGTCAGTAGTTTATATGAATTGTAACTTTATTTAAATATAAAATAGCTTGAATCAAGGTTAACCTATGGCGTTGATTGCAAACATTTTTAGTTCGACAACTTCTCGCATATATTGTATTATATTCTGTAGTAAATATTGTAATTAAATGTCATTTTATTAATTATAACAATATGTGCGATATATATTCAATAAATTATTAAATATTGATTGTATAGAGCGGCCACTCTAATGAGTTAATTAATTACTCACAACTCGTCAGTAGTTTATATGAATTGTAACTTTATTTAAATATAAAAT